AACACAAGGACACACACATAGAAAATAATAAACCACACAAACTATTTATATAAAAAGGTTTTTTTTTTTTTCATTGTTAAAAAACCACCATTGTTTCTTGCTAGCACACTCAGACTGTACCATGGATGTCCACTGTTCGATCCTAGGCATAGTTCAGCAAGCTGGAAAGAAAGTCTGTAAAAGTTATGTCAAAATAGACTACCCCTACTACCTTATATGTCGGCTCTGTGGCTAAGCCGATGCGAACGCTTCATAATGCTGGGGGTGCCGGGTTCGATCCCAGCTGCAGGCTATGCGCCTTGTGTTGGTTTCGACAGTGGTATCAGGGAGCCGACCGTCCATTAAGCAATGGCAAACTACTGGATGTAAATTTGCCTAGAGAAACCACACAACAGCCAGGGGCTGCTGGGGTTGATTCTGCAATGCCCTGTAAAGGATACACAACTAACCTAGAACTACCTTATATGTCTGACCTTGAATATGTCAACTGAAAATTCAGATTCACTTCGGGGTATCTGCTGTGCGACTTTATTTATTTCCAAGTTGTGGAAACAAAAAAGTTCAGACAGAACGACGTGAATCTAAACAGTTTAAAATAGACATCTGACGCTGCTGTGGCGGAGTGGCAAGATGCTCCAACTGCCAGCCTGAAGATCATGGATTTGAATCAGCATTGAGTTGGATTTTTCTCAGAAACAACCCAGGCTGTCAGACCAACCCAGCCTCAAATGAGTACAAGGTAAAGTCCTGGAAAATCAAGGTGGCCAGCTTGTGTTGACAACATTACTCATCGAAGGCTGATTGGTCTGGAAGAATATGTGTTTAACATCATATGTCTGATGTGTCACAAGTATAAAGAAGCTCCTTTTAAACAAACATCCTGGGGTAAGTCAGGATTAACTGTAGACATACATCCTGGGGTTGGTTAGGATTAACTGTACACACATCCTAGGGTAGGTTAGGATTTACTGTGGACACACATCCTGGGTTAGGCTAGGATTAACTGTGGACACACATTCTGGGGTAAGTCAGAATTAACCATGGACATACATCCTGGACTGTACACACATCCTGGGGTAGGTTAGGATTTACTGTGGACACACATCCTGGGGTAGATTAGGATTAACTGTGGACACACATCCTGGGGTAGGTTAGGAGTTACTGTGGACACACATCCTGGGGTAGGTTAGGATTTACTGTGGACACATATCCTGGGGTAGGTTAGGATTTACTGTGGACACACACCCTGGGGTAGGTTAGGATTAACTGTGAACACACATCCAGGGGTAAGTTAGGATTAACTGTACATGCATCCTGGGGTAGGTTAGGATTAACTGTGGACACACTTCCTGGGATAGGTTAGGATTTACTGTGGACACACATCCTAGGGTAAGTCAGGATTAACTGTACATGCATCCTGGGGTAGGTTAGGATTAACTGTGAACACACATCCTGGGGTAGGTTAAGATTAACTGTGAACACACTTCCTGGGGTAAGTTAAGATTAACTGTGAACACACTTCCTGGGGTAGGTTAAGATTAACTGTGGACACACTTCCTGGGGTAAGTTAGGATTAACTGTGAACACATATCCTGGGGTAAGTTAGGATTAACTGTGGACACACTTCCTGGGATAGGTTAGGATTAACTGTGGACACACTTCCTGGGATACGTTAGGATTTACTGTGGACACACTTCCTGGGATAGGTTAAGATTTACTGTGGACACACATCCTAGGGTAAGTCAGGATTAACTGTACATGCATCCTGGGGTAGGTTAGGATTAACTGTGAACACACATCCTGGGGTAAGTTAGGATTAACTGTGAACACACTTCCTGGGATAGGTTAAGATTAACTGTGAACACACATCCTGGGGTAGGTTAGGATTAACTGGGAACACACTTCCTGGGGTAAGTTAGGATTAACTGTGAACACACATCCTGGGGTAAGTTAGGATTAACTGTGAACACACATCCTGGGGTAGGTTAGGATTAACTGTGAACACACATCCTGGGGTAGGTTAGGATTAACTGTGAACACACATCCTGGGGTAAGTTAGGATTAACTGTGAACACACATCCTGGGGTAAGTTAGGATTAACTGTGAACACATATCCTGGGATGGGTTAGAATTAACTGTGGACAAACATCCTGGGTAGGTTAGGATTAACTGTGAACACATCCTGGGGTAGGTTAGGATTAACTGTGAACACACATCATGGGGTAGGTTAAGATTAACTTTACACACATCCTGGGGTAAGTTAGGATTAACTGTGGACACACATCTTAGGGTAGGTTAGGATTAACTGTGGACACACATCTTAGGGTAAGTAAGGATTAACTGTAGGCAAACATCCTAGGGTAAGTTAGGATTCAATGAACAAATTGCAAGTGCTATTTGGAGAGGGAGACAGGTACATACATTCAGAAAACCAACATTATTCTGTGTATAAAGATTTCAGCTTCATTTATAACTTACAAAAACTGAAAGAAAGAAAATGGAACTTGCTTAATCAGCATCTCTGAATTTATAACCCAGTAATGGTGAACTGCAAAAATTCAGGAAAACCTCTCCAAGCAGATGAAAACACAAAGGCTAACATTTTCTCCCCCTCTCTCCCCATCCCCTCCAGCAGCTGTTTCTAATGGTGCCATACGCCAAGCTGTCATCCTCCAGATTAGGCTGCGTGGCTTTTAGCTATGACCTTTGTACACTCTCTGCTGTAAGGGAATAATCACTGTTTATGTTAGCCAGATAGCTTATCTCTCACATGCAACAGCTTCTGCAGTATTGCCTGTGTGTACTATGTGATGTATATAAGAGGATAAGTGTTTATCAACAGCTAGGGGTGATGATATGATGACATCATGTTTCAATGAACATACACCTAGATTCTCATTTTGGGTTAGAAAAGGGTTCACTGATTAGCCAGATTTTCTGGCGTAAGTTCACTGTGTCCCAAGTTTAATTTGTGCGCATTTTATTTTTAACATCCTTGGCATCTGATGCCCTATTCCAGGATTGTGGGTATATTTATCGGTTTATGTTGCTATTTTGGCCTTCTAAAACCTGGAGAGTGTGACTAGTGCCAGATTTAGACTTCCTGAGGCATCTTTGGGGAACTTAGGATAGTTCGTTAAACCAGTGTTTCTCAACCGTTTTACACCTGTGTCCCACCAAAATGGAGAAGATTGTTTTGCAGCCCACCTGACAGCCCACCTGATAGCTCACATGATAGCCCACCTGACAGCTCACCTGACAGCTCACCTGACACTCACCTGACATCCCACCTGACAGCCCACCTGTCAGCTCACCTGACATCCCACCTGACAGCCCACCTGTCAGCTCACCTGACATCCCACCTGACATCCCACCTGACAGCTAACCTGACATCCCGCCTGACAGCCCACCTGACAGCTCACCTGACAGCCTACATGACAGCTCACCAGACACAGAAACAAAAGCAAATGTAGCAGATTATAAGTTAAATCTGATTTCACAGAATTTAAATTCTTTGCTAATGCGACATCAACTGCTGTTTAGAGGCTCAGTATCTGATATGCATGGCTAGAGCCTGGTTTCTGAGAGCCAGAGTGCTGTTGTAACATCCATTTGCTTTCTCTGTTTGGTTTTTATTATGACATGGCTAAGAAAGCTTTTTCACACCAATTGGGAAGTTAAAAAAGCGACCATTAATCTGATGGCTCAGTAACTCAGAGATGGATATTCTGTTCTGTTTACCTGATTAACAGACATTTTGGCGGTCCACTTGGACTTTTCTGCAGCCCCCATGAGGTGACAGCCCACCACTAGGTCACAGCCCATGGGTTGAAGAACACTGCCTCAAACTATAAAACTTGGAGGCTGGTTGTTGAAAATACTAAATTGACCTAGCTTATTCTGTCTGATATCAACACACACATTACATACATATATAAATATGTAGTGAGGTAATCTCTGTCAACAGGAGAGGTATAGTGCCTCTTTGCCTTCACTTGTCTATGGGTCACTTCCTGAGTACAGTTGGAGCACTTACTTAGTACCCCCGTCCCCATTGGGGGTCACATGAAGTCTAGGCAGGAGGTCAAGGATAAAAGGTTGAGCAGCTAAAAGTATTTCAGAACTGGGCACAGTTTTAGCTGTGCTAGGCCCACAAGGCCACTGTGGGCACGAGGGCTCTGTATGGGCAGAGGGCTCTGTATGGGCACGAGGGCTCTGTATGGGCACGAGGGCTCTGTATGGGCACGAGGGCTCTGTATGGGCACGAGGGCTCTGTATGGGCACGAGGGCTCTGTATGGGCACGAGGGCTCTGTATGGGCACGAGGGCTCTGTATGGGCAGTGCTCACTCAAGAGGATATTTTAGCTCTGACAGAAAGACACTGTTGTACTAAACATGGGTACAGTATGGTGACAAAATTGTTTCATTGCACACAGTGCACATACAGCTGATGACCAATCGACACTTAAAGGGTGATGTAGTCAACATCGTGCCAGCCGCCTTTACTTTCCATCACTTTACCAACTACCCATTTAAGGCTGGGTAAACCTGGGAGCCAAGGTCATAAAAAGGCTTGTCTTAGATAGGCTGAGGGTCCGTGCTTCATTGGTAGATGCAAGGCTGCAGACGAAAATTAACGTCTGCCTCCAGATTCCATGTGTCAGCTAAAAGCCCTGGCTTCAGCTGCTGGAGCTGCCTGTCAATGGGTTCCCCCCTTATAGCAGTTTGGCATGTGACTGTTTGGAGTCGTCATCTTCTTCTTTTGTTATCTCACTGACACCAGGTTGTAGCCCAGTGTCGCGATTTTTCTATATTTGTCCTATGCTTCTTGGGTTTGTTCATCTTTTTTCAGGGTTCTGCTGCACCATTTATCTTTTTTTTGGTCTTTCTCTCACCTTCTTCTCAGATGTTCTGCTGTTAAAAAGTCTCATATGCACTTTAGTTCTGATTTGTCATTATCTCTATTGTCTTATTCTGTGTCTTTTGTTTGCCGACTGCAGGAATGGAATGGAGAAAATTCTGAGCGGGAGAAATTATTTTCAGAATGCGGACTCACTTGATGTACAAGCACGGTAAGACTCATCTTTATGTTATTTCTCTTGTCTATGGGGTTACTAGCCCATTTCCGCAGACCAGTGAGGAAGATGTTGGAGCCGCAGAAGTGTTTTTTATAGAAGAAAATGTGACAGACAAGACATTGAAATGGTCGCTTGAAAAATATGCGCTCACAAAATGTAGTGATTACCCACATACAAGAAGATAACCGACTTTTGTAGTCACATCAAGAGAAGGGGAGAAGTGTCAAACATCATGGCAGCAAAACAGTTGGGAAAGGACATGACAGCAAAACAGTTGGGAAAGGACATGACAGCAAAACAGTTGGGAAAGGACATGACAGCAAAACAGTTGGGAAAGGACATGACAGCAAAACAATTGGGAAACGACATGACAGCAAAATAGTTGGGAAAGGACATGACAGCAAAACAGTTGGGAGTTTGACATCGTGACATGGAGGAAGATGTGAATCAGAAATAGATGGCAGTAATCGTGATTTGGATGAAGATGTGAATCAGAAATATATGGCAGTAATCGTGATTTGGAGGAAGATGTGAATCAGAAATAGTTATCAGTAATCCTGATATGGAGAAAGATGTGAATCAGAAATAGATGGCAGTAATTGTGATATGGAGGAAGATGTGAATCAGAAATAGTTGGCAGTAATCATGATTTAGAGGAAGATGTGAATCAGAAATAGATGGCAGTAATCCTGATATGGATGAAGATGTGAATCAGAAATAGATGGCAGTAATCATGACATGGAGTAAGATGTGAATTAGAAATAGCTGGCAGTAATCATGACATAGTGTAAGATGTGAATTAGAAATAGTTGGCAGTAATCATGAAATGGATGAAGATGTGAATAATAGATGGCAGTAATCGGGATATGGATGAAGATGTGAATCAGAAATAGATGGCAGTAATCGTGATATGGAGGAAGATGTGAATCAGAAATAGTTTAAATGATGTGGCAACAGTTGTGTGTGAATAACAGGGCAGATGTAGATTATGTTGTGGCAAAAAAAAAATTTTGTGTGAATCACAGGACATGTGTAGATGATGTTGTGGTAACAGTTGTGTGTGAATCAGTGGGCAGATGTGGAGGATGTTGTGGCAGAAGTTGTGTGTGAATCAGTGGGCAGGTGTAGACGATGTTGTGGCAGAAGTTGTGTGTGAATCAGTGGGCAGGTGTAGATGATGTTGTGGCAACAGTTGTGTGTGAATCAGTGGGCAGGTGTAGACGATGTTGTGGCAGAAGTTGTGTGTGAATCAGTGGGCAGGTGTAGATGATGTTGGGTCAGAAGTTGTGTGTGAATCAGTGGGCAGGTGTAGATGATGTTGTGGTAACAGTTGTGTGTGAATCACAGGGCAGGTGTAGATGATGTTGTGGTAACAGTTGTGTGTGAATCAGTGGGCAGGTGTAGATGATGTTGTGGCAACAGTTGTGTATGAATCAGTGGGCAGGTGTAGAGGATGTTGTGGCAACAGTTGTGTGTGAATCAGTGGGCAGGTGTAGATGATGTTGTGGCAACAGTTGTGTATGAATCAGTGGGCAGGTGTAGATGATGTTGTGGTAACAGTTGTGTGTGAATCAGTGGGCAGGTGTAGATGATGTTGTTGCAATAGTTGTGTGTGAATCAGTGGGCAGGTGTGGAGGATGTTGTGGTAACAGTTGTGTGTGAATCACAGGGCAGGTGTAGATGATGTTGTGGTAACAGTTGTGTATGAATCAGTTGGCAGGTGTAGATGATGTTGTGGTAACAGTTGTGTATGAATCAGTGGGCAGGTGTAGATGATGTTGTGGTAACAGTTGTGTGTGAATCAGTGGGCAGGTGTAGATGATGTTGTTGCAATAGTTGTGTGTGAATCAGTGGGCAGGTGTGGAGTATGTTGTGGTAACAGTTGTGTGTGAATCACAGGACAGGTGTAGATGAGGATTTTGAAACAGTTGTGTGGGAATAAGATGAAGGGTAATAGGGTGCAGAAGCAGCTGTGTGTGAATCATATAATAGTTGTAGATGGTTTAGCAGTAATTAGATGGGAATCACATGGTAAGTGTAAATGATGTGGAAACCATTTTATGTGAATCACATAGTAAGTGTAGGAAGTGCAGAAAAAGTTGTGTGTGAATCATATGGTTAATGTAGAAAGTGTGGAAACAGTTTTGTGTGAATCACATGATACTTTTAGAAGTGGAATTTGTTGTGTGTGAATTACATGATACTTTTAGAAAGTGTAGAAACAGTTGTGTGTGAATCACATGATAGGTTAAGAAAGTGTGGAAACAGTCGAGTGTGAATCACATATTTTTAGAAAGTGTGGAAATAGTAGTGTGTGAATAATAATGTATGTTTAGATGGGCGGGTGACGTAGGTGATGATTAAGCAATTATCATAATTTTAGTCATAATTAATGAATTATCCCTCCTTGTATCGATTTTATTGTTGTCTCCTCCTCCTTAGGGCACCACTTGGAGTTGATATTTCCAAAGATGTGTCCAACTGTTCCATAAAACCTCCAAAACTGAGGCTGCTTGGACATTAACTGTCTCAATCTGACTCTGGTCAGTCATAAGGTGTGCAGTGATCCTATTGTCTGGTCAGTCATAAGGTGTGCAGTGATCCTATTGTCTGGTCAGTCAGTTGCTGTTTGATGCTGCCAGGCTGGTACCCACAAGATATAGAGGCTAATGTCTGAGATTCTCGGGGTCATTCCATGAGTGATGTCTCCAGATCTGATAACAAGACTTGGAACTGATGTAACTGTGGCTGTGAATCCTCAACAACTAGTAAGCAACCAAAACAAAAAATCTTCAGGCCTCAGAGATCTGGTTTTTACAAAAGACTGCTAAAAATCCTTAGACAGGCAATATTTCTAACCGAAATATAAGGGAAGAAGCTGGCTCGTAAAGACATCCTTACATCAAAAAAGAGGAAATCGTCACATTTTTTAAAAAATCACATAATGAGAACAGAAAAACTAAAAACAGTGACAGCTGGAAAGATATGAAAGAAGATTACAATGAGAGGAGTTGTGACAGCCTTTTCCTGGCATGAAGAGGTGTCAGCACACATGTTGATGCATTTGTTAGTCAGTTAGCTAGTCGTTACGGTTCCGGCATCACAGCAAACCATAATTGGTCCATAATTACTCAACTGCCTATGCCAGTGATTCCAGTCACAAACTGAGTCAGATACGCTGGATACTTCAAGTTAATTCCGTAGCCATATAAAGTGTCCTCAGTCATCAAAACACACATGATTTGATCTAGCAAACCATAAGGAACATGCCTCCTCAAACACACTGCGAGACCAGGCATCATCGCTGAAAATCACCTTCATTCGACGAATAGCGAGCGATGAGTAGATTAAAACTATTCCTGACCATTTTCCACATGTCCTCGGCCAAGTTGCTGCCACGGCCAGCAAATAAATAGCAGCTGTGGTAATCTGGTATATCTAGTAATCTGCTAATCTTAGTTTCAGCTTCATAGCATACAGGTCACCCCATAGTTGCTCCGCTCCTGTGCCAACGAAAAACACACAGAATGTTTATCACAGTCCCCTGTGGAAAGATTGACAGACTGCTGTCTCAGTATATGCATTAAAGCATACGGTAGCCATCCGAAGTGCTAACATAAACAGTCCGACATTAGAAATGCAGTTTATCATATAGCACAGACCTTGTCCCGAGAACACAACAAAGAAAAAGACATCACCCATCATTGTTATGTTTGTTGATGCATGCTGGTGGATATTGCAAGACTTAGAGGAACTGGTTCATCCTCACTGTATGGATGTGGATGTGGGTGTATGTATGTGTGTACTGGGTGCCTGTGTGTGGGTGTAAGTGAGTGAATAGGTTTGCTTATGTATGTGGGTGTGTGTGTGCGAGCGTGCACACATATTTTACCATCCATGCTTTTGTTTTCATAATATGCATATTATACCATGAACATAACATGCTTTATTTATAAAAAATACAACTGCTGTGTGAAAGTTGGGTGTTTAGAAGGGACGAATGTAAGACAGGCCTGCATGCCTAATTTGTGACCCTTTGAAAGAATGTTTGTTCTTTCATTCATTCGTTCACTGCTCAGCAAATTCCATATCCTTGTCCCATAACAGAAAGTTATTGGGCCAATATTCCTGATAAGATTTGCACTTGATTTTGCAAATATAGCGGTAACAGATCCAGAGGTAGACTACGCGGAATATGGACTGCAGAGACACTGAAAAGTACTTTATACAAAGAGAACAGAAGGGCCTGTTCTAGAGATCTCTTCTTTCCCTGATGCCTTGAGGCCTTCCAGGAGTAGAGCAAAGAAGAAAATGAAGATGCAAATAATGACTGAGCTATTACTGCAACATCTAGTCAAAGGCTGGTGACATGTGGCAACAGATGTGACAAATGGGTGAAAGCTAAAAAGTTAGTTCAGCTATTATCACTGTGTTGAATGGATAATTGATATGCACACCTCTTGATATCTGCTGCGGGAGACTAAGCATTTGTGTGTTTGCTTTGAGTGCATGAGTGTAAACAAGATGTAATTACTTGGATCAAGTATCTCATTTATGCTACAGTCTTGGATGAAACATCAGATCTGATGCTCAGATGGTGTCATGCGGGTGGAGAGGGGTGTAAATGTTGAAGGTCAAAGGTCACATGATCAGTGACCATAGCTTAGCCAAAACTATGTGCCAGATTGTTTAGGGCAACTTCTATTATGTCTGTGCCCAGTTACTGTGTCTGTGCTCGATTATTGTGCCTGATGATTGTGTCTGTGGCCAGTTACTGTGTCTGTACCAGATGACTGTGTCTGTACCTGATGATTGTGTCTGTGCCTGATGATTGTGTCTGTACCTGATGATTGTGTCTGTACCTGATGATTGTGTCTGTGCCTGATGATTGTGTCTGTACCTGATGATTGTGTCTGTACCTGATGATTGTGTCTGTGCCTGATTATTGCGTCTGTGCCTGATGACTGTGTCTGTGCCTGATGATTGTGACTTTACCTGATGACTGTGTATGTACCTGATGATTGTGTCTGTGCCTGATGACTGTGTCTGTGCCTGATGATTGTGTCTGTGCCTGATGACTGTGTCTGTACCAGATGACTGTGTCTGTACCTGATGATTGTGTCTGTACCTGATGATTGTGTCTGTGCCTGATGATTGTATCTGTGCCTGATGACTGTGTCTGTGCCTGATGATTGTGACTTTACCTGATGACTGTGTATGTACCTGATGATTGTGTCTGTGCCTGATGACTGTGTCTGTGCCTGATGATTGTGTCTGTGCCTGATGACTGTGTCTGTACCAGATGACTGTGTCTGTACCTGATGATTGTGTCTGTACCTGATGATTGTGTCTGTGCCTGATGATTGTGTCTGTGCCTGATGACTGTGTCTGTGCCTGATGATTGTGTCTGTGCCTGATGATTGTGTCTGTGCCTGATGACTGTGTCTGTACCTGATGACTGTGTCTGTACCAGATGACTGTGTCTGTGCCTGATGATTGTGTCTGTGCCCAGTTACTGTGTCTGTGCTCGATTATTGTGCTGGAAAGACTCGTGGAAGCTGCAGGCATAGCTGTAGCCATGGCCTATGGTTGAGGTCAGATGAATGCCTTGAAAATGTCATGTCCACTGCAAGATACCTCTGTTTCCTACCCACATTAAAATGTTGATTAATATCAATTGTTGTTCTTTAAAATATTTAAGTTTCTTTTGTGTGTGTGTCTGCTTGATGTACAAATGCTGTCTGTTCTTGTCATGTATAGCTGAGTTTTCTTGTGTGTGCCTGCTTGATGTTCAAATGTTTCCTGTTTTCATCATGTGTAGGCTTTTGTTAGATAACACATTGAAGAAAAGGGATTGATTTTATCACATTAGGCTCAGTCTCTCACTGCAGAGCAGCCAGCAGCCAGGGGGTCATCCCACAGAGCAGGAACTGCTTGGTGGGGTCATCACACAGAGCAGGAACTGCCTGGTGGGGTCATCACACAGAGCAGGAACTGCCTGGTGGGGTCATCACACAGAGCAGGAACTATCTGGTGGGGTCATCACACAGAGCAGGAGCTGCCTGGTGGGGTCATCACACAGAGCAGGAACTATCTGGCGGGGTCATCACACAGAGCAGGAACTGTCTGGCGGGGTCATCACACAGAGCAGGAACTATCTGGTGGGGTCATCACACAGAGCAGGAACTGCCTGGTGGGGTCATCACACAGAGCAGGAACTGCCTGGTGGGGTCATCACACAGAGCAGGAACTGCCTGGTGGGGTCATCACACAGAGCAGCATCTGGTGGGGACACAGAGCAGGAACTATCTGGTGGGGTCATCACACAGAGCAGGAACTGAACTTCTGGTGGGGTCATCACACAGAGCAGGAACTGCCTGGTGGGGTCATCACACAGAGAGCACTGTCTGGTGGGGTCATCACACAGAGCAGGAACTGCTTGGTGGGTCATCACACAGAGCAGGAACTGTCTGGTGGGGTCATCACACAGAGCAGAACATCTGGTGGGGAACAGGAACTGGTGGGGGTCATCACACACAGCAGGAACTGTTTGGTGGGGTAATCACACAGAGCAGGAACTTCTTGGTGGGGTCATCACACAGAGCAGGAACTATCTAGTGGGGTCATCACACAGAGAACGAACTGTCTGGTGGGGTCATCACACAGAGCAGGAACTGCTTGGTGGGGTCATCACACAGAGCAGGAACTGTCTGGCGGGGTCATCACACAGAGCAGGAACTATCTGGTGGGGTCATCACACAGAGCAGGAACTGCTTGGTGGGGTCATCACACAGAGCAGGAACTGTCTGGTGGGGTCATCACACAGAGCAGGAACTGTCTGGTGGGGTCATCACACAGAGCAGGAACTATCTGGTGGGGTCATCACACAGAGCAGGAACTATCTGGTGGGGTCATCACACAGAGCAGGAACTATCTGGTGGGGTCATCACACAGAGCAGGAACTGCTTGGTGGGGTCATCACACAGAGCAGGAACTGTCTGGTGGGGTCATCACACAGAGCAGGAACTGTCTGGTGGGGTCATCACACAGAGCAGGAACTGTCTGGTGGGGTCATCACACAGAGCAGGAACTGCTTGGTGGGGTCATCACACAGAGCAGGAACTATCTGGTGGGGTCATCACACAGAGCAGGAACTATCTGGTGGGGTCATCACACACAGCAGGAACTATTTGGTGGGGTAATCACACAGAGCAGGAACTTCTTGGTGGGGTCATCACACAGAGCAGGAACTATCTAGTGGGGTCATCACACAGAGAACGAACTGTCTGGTGGGGTCATCACACAGAGCAGGAACTGTCTGGTGGGGTCATCACACAGAGCAGGAACTATCTGGTGGGGTCATCACACAGAGCAGGAACTATCTGGTGGGGTCATCACACAGAGCAGGAACTGTTTGGTGGGGTCATCACACAGAGCAGGAACTATCTGGTGGGGTCATCACACAGAGCAGGAAACTATCTGGTGGGGTCATCACACAGAGCAGGAACTGTCTGGTGGGGTCAT